CCCTTACCCTTACCCTTACCCTTCTTCATCTGCTTCTTCAGAAACTCCTCCGCCACCTTCTCGAGCTTTCTCTCCTCTTCCCCGGCCTTCCACTCCTCCAACCTCTTCTCGGCGTTGACGTGCCTCAGCCTCCGGCCACTCATGTCCCTGCACGCGTCGAAATTGTTCGTCTTCTTCTGCCCCGCCTTCGTCGCTGCGCCACGCAGCAGCGAGCCGAAGCCGCCCTTCCCGCCCTTGAGGCGCAGCAGCAAGCGCACCGAGGGGAACATGTTGCCGTCCTCCGGGGAGCATTGGATCGCCGATTTTTCATCGTTCAGATGGCGGAAACCCGTGACGAGGCGCTGGTGCTGCGCGGGGATTCCGGTGAGTTCGAAGAGGCGATCCTTGATGGAATTCGCGTAGAGAATCGGAGAGGGGAATAGGAGGGTTAGGGTTTTCCCGTCCAAATGCTTCACGAACAGGTTGTACATCTTCTTGCTCCGGTTCTGCTCCATTGTCGAATTCGATCCAAAACCAGGATTTCGGAAATTAGGGTTTGGGGAAATCGGAGAGAAATGTTATATCATCTGCGTGTAAATATTTTTATACCTCCCGTTTATTTTCCTCGTTCGTATATGGAAAATAATAGAACGGGATTACTATTCCATCCATAAAGTTTCTATATTTTGGAAAATTCAACTTACTTTTAATTTAATCAACTAATAATAGATGTTGGTGATATTTTATTATTTTTAATTTGTATAATATCTTATATCAAAAATGAAAAATTTATGTAAAAATTTAATTATAATCAAATGCCGGTGATATTTGATTATATTTTTAATTTATTAAATTGATTACTTATTACGTTATTTTATTTATTAATATAATATAAATAATATAATTATTTTATATATAACAATAAAGCTGATATTTATCAAAATATCTATGTAAATATCTTATATAATAGATATAAATCAACCTCTAATATCAAACATGAATTATTATATTGTGTGAAAGTATTTTTAAAAAAAAATTTAGCTAAAAGAATTTATAGAAAAATTAATTTATTTATTTATTATAATTACTTATAAATTAAATATTAATATTTTAAAATAAATTAATTCTATAAATTAAACATAATTTTTTCTTATACAACAAAAAAAATTCAGAGATTTTTTTAATTTTTTTATATAATTTAATTTTTATTTATCATAATTATTTACAAGTAATATTTTAATATTTTTAAAATAAATTATCAATAAAGTAGAGTTGTTAAAATTGATTAAAATTCAAAAATTAACTCGACCTACCAAAGATTTGAGTCGGGTTGAATTAGAAATTTTTGACTCATTCTAGTTATAAAAAAAATTTGTTTGACTCACTTACAATTCGACTCACCACCAATTAACTTATGATAAGCCAAATTAGCTCACCTAGTATATTTTTTTATTATTTTATTTTTTAGGTTCTTAAGTGTTAATTTAAGTAATTATACATTTATGTCATCAACTCAATTTTGTACATATTAATTATAAACTATGATAATTAATATTTTATGACATCAATTTGATATTATTTTTTAATATTTTATATAATAATTTTGATTTTATAAGTTGATTAAGTTGGTTGTGAATGATTTATATATGCAGTTCAACTAGTGACCCACCGGTTCAACCTTTGACCCACTGACTCAATACCTTAACCGGTTCAATGACCGGTCCAGTTTTTAAAACTATGATTTAAATTATCAACCTCTAGTGGACCGGATCAAACTGATTTTTTTTAAGCTCATCATAAGGTGTGTCAGATTGAGTTGATCCAACCCATAATGGATCGAGTCGAATTAAAAATTGTTTCTTTGAATGAACTTGAATATTATCCAAATAATTCGGCCTTAAGATTAATATATTAACTAACTTTCTTAATTTATATATATAATAGATATTTCACAATTATTTTATTATATAATTTACTAAAATAATTTTGTATTAATTTTAATTTCTCCAAAGTATATCATATTTATTTATAAATCGCGCAACACCATGTGAATATGTAGTATTCAATTTTGATGCAATATTACATCACTGCATAATCACATATAGATGTTGAAGCAATTCTTAAACAACACAACAAAAATATGCACACATAATAGATTGTCAAAGTTAGTGTTTCTGAGCAGTGAAATCTGGTTCAGCTGGCTTTGGAGGTAACAGTCTCTGTTGCATTTTACTGTGTCTGTTATTTTCTCTCAAGGTTCGCAGTGCATTAGCAGCAAACCTTGATGCATACATGGTAACACCAAGGCTTGGAGTAGACCCCTCCTCATTTGCCAAAGCATCTTGTAGCTTGGCTTCTGCTTCGCGCAATGACTTCTCAATCTTCCTTTTCCAATACCGACGCCACGCTGCTTGTATGAAAGTGGCAGCCCATGTCTTCCACTGTGAGGAATAGAACCTGCATGAAAAAACAAACACATTGCATATAAATTCATGAGGTTATTAAGTTTTGTGTAAAAAATTAGGAGAGAATTGTATTCTAATTTCTAAGATCTTTACCATAATCCCACATGTGCTTATGAAAAAGAGTAATACTTTAAGATTGGTCATCACATGGATTTATGACTTCTATTATTGATAATGATTTTACAATCTGATCTGATGTTAAAAGCATTATATCTGCACCTTATTTCTATTGTCTACAAAGTTTTACCCGAGGAAAAAGGAGAAATTAACATGATTATGATATCAATTATCGAGTCTTACCTGAAAGCATGTTGGAGCTGTTTGCTGTGAAGACGTCGAAATTGGGAAGCAACAAACTTCAAGTCATCAGCCATGAGAGCAAAGGCTTCTACTTCTGATATAGTTTCTACTGTCCTAGTTGAAATGGGTAGATTTGAGGTGGAGTGGGGATCCAAGGCCCATGTTAGAAGCTCCTCTCCACAGAAATCACCGGCCATGAGAAACAAGGAGTTGAAGAAACCAGTTCTTCCACCATTTGTTGTCATAGTAGAAACTTTTCCACGCATTATGAAAAGCATCTCATCAACTGGATCTCCTTCACGAACAATTTGACTCTTCTCAGTGTAAAGGACTGGCTTAAGTCTATTGCACATTGCATCCAACAACTGCTCATCCATTTTCTCAAACATTGGCACCTAAAGCAATAACAACATAAAAATGTTCATTAGTTACACAATTTTCACTACAATTCGAACTAAATAATTAGATGAGGAAACATGATTATGGATTGTACTGACTTTTTTAACTAAAGCTAAGCAAAGGTGACGCTTTATGTCCCTTCTGAGATCTTTAGGAAGGTTACGAATTAATGCTTCCTCCTCAACACCCCTATTTTCTTGCCATTGGTACTGTTCATACCGTCTAATTCTTTCCTTCAAGTTCTCGGGTAGCATACGGTGGGACATCCACTGTTCTGCATCCTGTCTCTTCACTCTCATCTCCTCCACTCTAACAGTTGTAGATTGCAGATATTTCTGTAACAATATTCAACTTGGTAGTTAGCAAACTAATCTTGCATAAAAACTAACTTTTCAAATGTTAGGTGGGAATGTCCTAATTTACTGATGGAGTCAACTGTAATACAGTGATCTATAAATGGGAGAATTTTTGGATGACAACTTCTTAACAATAGTATTTAAATCAATATTGGAGATAGGAAGTTCTACATGTGTTGCTTCATCAGGCCACTCCCCAACGTTTGAAAAGCTAACATTTTTTGAAAGAAAAAAAAACACTCGTGAACTTCTCGACAACAACATTATTTCTTTTTGGAAGACCATAAATTACCTGCATGTTTCCGATGAGCAACGAGAATAAAAACAATCCAAAGATGCCAATGAAGATTGCAAAGGCTATCTCCGGAACATAAGTACTTGTCTTGAGATTTTGTCCAAGAGCACTGCAATAGATGACAAATTTTTTAATTCTGGTATGCTTTGGACCCCATCTTATAATAAATTGCATTGAATTTTCCTTGATAATTAAGATGTTAAAACCACTAATAGTAAATCCATAGAAATATTGAAAACGAAATTAGATAAGGATATAGAAGTTCTAGAGTTCATAAAATTAATAAGCATACTGCATTTGTATGTATGAAAAACAAGAAAACAGAAGATTATATTGGCCAACCTTAAATTGCGCAAACCCCACCAAAAGCAGTAGAAGAACTTCTGAGGAAAATCTGTTGTATATTCTACCACACCTGAATCTAGAGCATCAAAATATATTCCAAAGTTGAAGGTGTTTCTGTCTGTGATTTTATCAGGATCAACGAAAGAACAATTTCTACGAAGATGGGAAAGAACTTCATTATCTCGAACTCCACAACTCGTGTAATTTTGATGAAAGAGTGAAGCTTTCTTCAACTCTCTGCGCCAGCACCGCACCTCTGACTCTACCGAAAGCATATACCAGTTAGCTCCAACCACCTAATAAGTCACACGTATTTAGTGATCATAAAGCTCAGCATGGTAACTACCTAGGAACATGCATAAATTGGATTTATATATTAACAATCAATTTAGATAGATGCTTAAAATGCTTATCTATTAATAATAAGGAGATTTTTTATAGGTAAAGTTCTTAAAATCACTTTAATTTGTATCCAAATAAACTCTAAAAATAAAAATCCGCTTACATGACTTGCTAGCATATAGAGAAAAAGATTAGAAGCAGCTCCAGCCCATGCTGTCTGAGTCAATATTCCAGAAGTTCTAGTAACTTCTTTGAATAGTGGATAGATCCGCAAAAGCCTTGGCACATACTGGATTAATACTGCAAACTTCAACAACTCCTTTGCTACAAATGGATCTGTTGTTCCCAGGCTTGGATTTGTGGCTAAAACAATCACCTAAGTGTCAAACACAACATCAAATTGAACCGAACTGAAAAATGTTAATTGATACAAACAAAATGCCTTTAATTTGGCTTGTTATCTTTGAAAAATAAATAAATAATACATATAAGATTGTGTTTGAGAGGAACTATACCTGTGGAAGTGGAATAATTGATAGAATATCAATGATGAAAAGTGAAGTCAAGTATTTTTTCATTATAGCCACAGGATCATCAATGAGTTCACCCCTTCCGAAAACACGAGAAGAAGGGGCAATGAACCCTGTCTTAAACTGAAAGATTATGCGAAGAATGTAGAATAGATCAAAGAAGGTGCGAAGAACACTGGCAGTGATCTGCAATGCTGTATCCAAATCAAGGCATTTTTTATCATCAATAATCACTGGAATGTAAAAGAAGAAGGGGTCCACAGAGACTGCCATCACACACGTTATTACAAAGATTTTGTTCCATTTTTGAAGGACTGGACCCTGTGGATCAAGAATGTTCTTCCTAGGTGGCAGCTTTTTCTGTCCATCACTTACAAAATGGACGACTGAAGCTCTTCTCATGTCCTTCATCTTCGTTGACTTACTCTCCAGCCTTCTTCCTATACTCTTCAAAACAGCACTCACACTTGGTCTACCTTTTCTTTTGTGACGTACATCTTTAATAGGATCTTCTTGCTCTATACTAAAAGATGACTCTGATTTCCAGTCCTCAAACCTAGATGGAGAGAAATTTAAACTTATCAAATGAATTATGATCAAGTCTCCGAAAGGACACCTCAATGGTTGTGTTTGAGTTTGACTACTACATATTCCAAAATTAAAACGATATCATGATCAATTTTATGGATAAAAGGTCTAACATTCTTTTTATTGTATATATGATAATGAATTTTTCTTGATGCGTTTTTATATTTTTTATGTATTTATTTAAATTATTGTTTTTTAAATAGCTTCGTACTTTTTAGAAAAATTTATTTTTTTGCTTTCTTAAGAACCAAATCTCATCAGTTTCTTAAAGAATTGGTTTTTTAAAAAAATCTTTTTTAGAAATGGTTGGCTATTAGTACTAGTATTCTTTGTTCAGCCACTTCTGGCTCTTAGTGAGTATTGTCGACCAACTCCTGGTCCACTAACTTCACTCATTAGCACTAGTATTCTTTAATCATCCACTTCTGGCTCGTAGTGAGTATTCTTTGGCAAGCCTCTCCAGGCTTTTACAAGTATTCTTTCCCTAGCCTCTTTAGGCTTTACAAATGATAAATGATATTTGTGTTTGAGTGTTTGGTTTACTCTCATAGAGAAGATACAAGTATTTTCTACACTCACTAAGATACATGATCCTAAGTTACACTTAGAGTCCCTTAGTCTACAGAGATAATTACATCAATGTACATTTGACTCATAAGCTCTATCTCTGGTTTCATTGCTTCATGGACTAGATATCACTCTTCGTCTAGCTTGAACCAGTCTAAGCCAAACAGCCAACCTTTAGGTTCAAAGTTGTGACATATATATATAGTCTTGTAAAATTTGCTTGTTGCAAGTGTCCGTTGAAGCGGATGTTGCTTCCTGTTTATAAACATTGCGTGAAGTCTTCTTTGTTTTTTATGCAGCAGTGTCTGAATTTAGCAAAGACCTTGGAACCATTTTGTCCTTTTCTAGTCACGTAGCTGTAGAGCATTGTCCTTATCTGAAAAAGTAATGTACTTTTTCTAACACATGCATGCTTTTACTTTTGCGCTTGATTTTCTCTTTCTTTTCTTCTTCTAGTACATGTGCATTCATTTTGAGAGCTTATGTATGATTATAGACGATGCCTGAGTTGTCCTTGGAGACATGATTTCTCAATTGCTTGTATGGTAGTTTTCGTCTGTGTTTGTTAGTTTTATGCGTCTCAAGAACAATAGTAGACTATTGAGTTTTAAATGAAAGTAAATATATATATTTTATTTGAATATGAAATATTTTTTTTATAAATGTCTTTTTTAATAGAGATATTGTGCAATTAGTGTCCTTAATTATTAGACTCATTAGCAATAGGCAACAATATACATTCTATTATAAAAAAGAATATAGATCAATTGATATATAACAATTAAGAAATTTGTGAAGGTTCAATTGTAATTAGAGAATAACAATTAAGAAAAGGTATCTATTAAGAACTACGAAGGCAATAGTGGGAAGTAGAATATATGAGTAACGAATTGTTAAAAATTAATCCTTTGTCCTTCTTTCACACTTTAAAAAGTCTAAACAGTATTTTTGGATAAATGAAGCGTCTAAGACTCGTATATTCGTTTACCTGAATGTCTATAAACAATAATTTACAATGTGATTAAGCATTCAAACAAACAAGCCTTTTTATGGATAAAAGGTCTAACATTCTTTTTATTGTATATATGATAATGAATTTTTCTTGATGCGTTTTTATATTTTTTATGTATTTATTTAAATTATTGTTTTTTAAATAGCTTCGTACTTTTTAGAAAAATTTATTTTTTTGGTCGCTGTTTGAAGGCTGCTTCTTTTCCCAACAGTGGTATCCGAGCCTGGTTTGATCGGGTGACTAGCTCGATGATGGAGCAGTGTACCAGGGAGGAAGAGAAGCAGTGTACCGAGGAGGTCATATGGAGGAGGGTTTCCAAGTTTAGCCAGAGGACTTGTGGGAAGGGGTTTTCAAGTTTTACCCATAAAACTTATGAAGAGAAAGTGGGTTTCCAAGTTTCACCAGAAAAACTTGTGAAGGAGGGGTTTTCAAGTTTCGCCAGAAAAACTTGTGAAGGAGGGTTTCCAAGCTTTGCCAGAAAACTTGTGAATGATGATGGGTTAATGTGAGACTTTGGATGAAGGGAGGAATGTTGTGCCCAAAGAGTGGGTATCCTCCAAAGTCCCACATTGGAGAGTCTTGAAGGGAGGAATGTTGTGCCCAAAGTGTGTGGGTATCCTCCAAAGTCCCACATCATGTAGTTTGAAGAAGGGAGTGGTAGACTACTACTATAAATAAGAGGTGATAGTTAGTGTCTACTCACCACAACAACATAGGTTCCAATGGGTGTATTGGGGACTTGGGTAGTTGTGTGTCATGAGAGGGTTTTCAAGTTTTTCCAGAAAACTTGTGTATGAAGGTTTCCAAGTTTTTCCAGAAAACTTGTGAGTGAGAGGGTTTGCAATTTTGTCCTTGTAAAAATTGTAAGTAGAGAGAAATAAAATGAGTTTGTTTTTGTTTCTCTATTTTTGTGTGTATGCTTCCGCTGTCGCTGTTTGAAGGCTGCTTCTTTTCCCAACACAAATCTCCTTACTAGCGCCCAGAGGGAGAGTAGTGGTGTTTTAACTTGAAAAAAATAGAGAATACAAACCACCACACGCAGACACTGATCTTGCTATCGATTTTAAATTGGTAATTATCTAACTTGGATTATTAGTTGCACATTTCGGTGTCAAACTGTCACGTTTTGGAGGCAAATGAGCGATGTTGTTTAGAAAAGCAACATATGAACGAATGAAATTACAAAAAAGATGAAGCAGAATGGATTCGAATGTGTGTACCAAGAGTACTAAAATTAAAACAATAGAAATATGCAACAACACCAGGACTGAGCAACCGAACCTCACAAATTTATGTCCCTTTGCATTCATGGTTAAACTATTTCAGCATCCAGTGAGAACAGAAACAGAAGACTCAGGCCTGAAAAATCGAATATCAAATTAGTAACTTATTTTCGTCCTCCAAAAGTTATAGTGCAAATTTAACTAGAAAGGGCAAGGATCAATGATCTGTTAAACGATAATATACATTAATTAATTACTTAAATTTACAGAAGTATAGCCACCAACACTGCATATATTTATATTCAATTCAAGTTAAGAGGACACGACAACCAACGTCGACCAGGTCAGAAATGACTGTTCGTATATAAATAACCAAAAAGGACACGACAATTTTTTAAGAGGGAACACTTGTACCTTATGAAACTATGCATCGGCATCATGAGAACAATAATGATGAAGACTAAGATGAAACAAAAAAAAGATAAACACGTAGTTAACAGTAACACGAACTAGTTGATCGATTATAAGGAACCACTGGTAGAAAACAAACATGTAAGGCACAAATAAGCAAAACTTCAATCAACCAATCAAATAGACTAATCAATAGACTCGGTGTTTGATTTCTGAAAAACCAAGAAGAAGAAAGGTAGTTAAATAAAAGATTTGTCTATTTTTACAGAAAAGGAAACAACAATCTTAAATATGCAAAGTTACATTACATGCAGTAATAACTTGTAGCCTTGGAGGAACCGTTTGCAAGGTTTGAGAGCTCAGAGAGATATTGATGGAAATGATTGGCGTTTTGGTGTTGTACAAATTAGATAGAATGAAAATAACAAAGAAAGTGAGAGAAGGAAAGACTCAGACCAAGTCCACGCTGTAAGAAGAGTCAAATCCAGCAGCCAGCACGTCAATACATGCAAAATTCCAACGGAATGAAAGCAACATGAAAATGAAACACTCAAATTTCTTGTTGAATTTAATTAAATATAAGCTACAACTATGCTCTTCGGTATAAAAAAAACACCGTGCGGTACGGAAAATACAAGAAATATTATATTAAAGATAACGAAAATAGCAATATTTCCTTTTTAAACAAAAATAAAAAACACATGAAACCCGCCTCCTAAATGAGATTTAGATCTGGTTAAAAGAAATAGATAGTCAAAGAATTTAGTCTCAAGTAAATTTGTTCACCTCAATTCGAATTAATCAGAAATTAATTGTTAGGTAACCAAAGTCTAAGAAAGAAAACAATAACGCTGTTATTATATCCTCCTATTCCACCTCTTACTATCTTAAATGACGAGTAGATATTAAATGCATTTATTTTCATCCAATACTTACTATAAAGGATATTCTCTGCTAATTTATGTAAGAGACTTATAATATATATATATATATATATAGGAGAATTAAGAAATTAATCTACATTCAATTTTTTTAAAAATTTATAAACTTGATCCATATATTAAGAATTTTAAATTTAATTATTAAATTATTGAAATTTGATGTAGAATATGAATTATTGAATGGAATAAACTTACGTAAACTTACTCTTAGAATAAACAGATTCTTCCTCGATATATATAATGACGAACCCACTTATTCTATGAGTAAATTTACTCAATTCAATACTTAAATTTTATATCAAATTTTAATTATTTAATTATTGAATTAAATTTTTTTAATGCATAGATTAAGATTATAATTTTTTTAAAAAAATTAAAAATTATTTGATATCCCATTTTATTAATTCAAATCAACATATAAAATATTTTTATGATTATCCGTCAATTTGAATTAATAAAATGGAATATCAAATAGTTTTCAAATTTTTTAAAATTTTAAATACTTGATTTATGCATAAGAACTTTTAATTCAACAATTGGATCGTTAAAATTTAAATTATAAGTGGAGTAAGTCAAAATAAACTTACTCCTGAAAGTTAAAGTAAGTAGATCTCTCTGTATATATATGATTTTATTATTTTTTAAAAATAAATATTATAATATACTAATTTTAATTTTATATCATTAAATTTTCATAAAATACATGAAATAAAACACCTATCCACCGTAATCAATAATATTGATTTTATTTTTTTTTGAAAAAAATGCACATGCTTTTACGATTAAGGTGAGAGAGAAAATGTTTTCTTAAATATTTTTTTATTATTCTGAGATAAAAAAAACACATATTCATAATCCTTAATAAAGAAAATAATAAAAATAAAAATAATAATATTTTATAAAAATTATAAATATATTATAAAAAGAACTGCTAATTCTTTTTAAATAACAAGGCCAAAGGGAATAAGAGATTCATTGGAGGATGAATGAAAGATTTAGAATTAGTAGGAATATTTAAAATTATTTAAAAAGAAAAAACACGGTAACAATACGACGATACACAAATGATGTCTATCTTTATTTTGAGAGGAAGGGAAGGGGGGTTGCAACGTCCATCACAACTTACATTAGTAATTATATTAAAAATTATACTTGATTATACTTTTTCCCCCATAATCTTTGGTATGTAAACTCCAAAGTCAAAATAAAGACTCTACAAACATAAGATAACATAACATGAAACGGTCTCTCTTGCATTTAATTAAGAATCAAAACAAGAAGATTAATAGTCTTTTTTTTTCTCAATAGACAAATCTAAATGACACTATAACTAGAAAACATAAATAGCAAACAAGAGTAAATATTGTGTACTTACTCTAATGAGTTATCTTGCTCTATATCTATTACTCTTCATTTGCTAGACTTTGTTCTCTAAACAAATAGATATATAAAAGTTTAAGTAGATTTATTTTATGTAAAGAAAATAATTTGGTATTTATGCTCAAACTTACATATTTTCACTTTGTGAGTTGACTTTGTAATATATTTTTTTTATTATTATTTATGAAAATCTTGAAAAAGAATACGTAGGTTAAAATTTTTGGAATAACATTAGGAGTGACAAATAGATAGATCAAATAAGTCTTTAGATATATTATAATGAATCACATCAAAATAATTCAATTAATAATTTTTAATGAATTTCAGTTAATAATAAAAAGGGTGTTAGAAATAGAATGTTAAAAAGAATGTCACTAACATTGTTTCTATGAAAAATTAAGAGTTAGTGATTCTTTTCTTTTGAGCTTGTCACATATCATATTACGGATATCCTTAATATTGATGATTGATATCCTTTTGTGTATTAGTATGTCCTTAGGAGTTGTTTGATTGGATAACTAGAGAAACTTCATTTTAATTATGTTGGGAGAAAATTCTTCTTGAAAATGAACCAAGTAAATAATTAATATAAAAAATCATCAAATCTATAACACATCAATTTGTGGTGGATGAGTTTCACGTTTAAATTAAATTCTTAAATAAATATTTAAAAGTTTTAGTTGTTTGGTGGAACAGGGGAGATGTTGTTACTTGTTGGCATATCTTGTGTTCAAACTTGACGTTTGCCATTTTAAACGTTTGTAACCTTAATTTTAACTGTATCATACTGGGATATATGAAATTTGCTACTTTAAACATATGGGATCTTGATTGGAATAATAAGTTCAAACTGTGATTAAAAAAAAAACAAAGAAAAGGACAAGGACATGGAGAGAGGAAGCCAATTGATAGAGAGATAAAGAGATATTTTAATGAGAATTTGAGAAGATGGAGAGAAGTATATGTTGCAAAGGATCCATGTCCGTCATCACTCATAACTGCAACTTGGCCTATTTTAGTCAGATTTCAGAACTCATAAAAGGTCTTTGAACATGCAACGCGATGCTGAAAACCATCTAAAATATGAAAGTAAACATATGGAATTTAAGTTGTATAATTGTCCATGTTATTACATTTCGTAGAGTAATAATTTATTTACACTCTTATATACCAAATACCTCGTTAATACTTGGTATTTGTCTCTTTCTTTTTTTTTTCCAATCATGTCGTTAACCAATCACACACTTGGAATGACATTTATAAAACCAACTTAATTAAGTAATGTTTCCCATCATTTGACGCAAACAGTAGTTGCCTATACCATTGGGATTCACTTTTGTTGAAACTTGAGAAAGTCATGAAGTTTGCATGCAATGCAAGTAGAGAAACCAACCAACCAATTGCACAAGTATCTCTCTCTATATATATATTACATTTGGTCCTTAATTTAAAACAGTCTAGTTCCAACTATCCTTAAACGTGCTGCTTCATTGACAATGAAAATGTCAAGAACAGCAACCTTTCTAGCTGGGCTTCTATCCATAGTCATTCTCATAATTACAAGATGTGAAGCTCTGGCTTCAGTACCATGCTCCACAGTTATTGAGGAGGTTGCACCTTGCACTAGCTTCTTGCAAGAAAGCACTAAGAAGCCCTCTCAGGCATGTTGCAGTGGCGTCAAGAAAGTAAGTGGTGAGGGTGTTACCAAAAAAGATCGAGCAGATATATGCCAGTGCCTCAAGGAAGGACTGGCTTTGGTTGGAAATTATGATCCTAATCTTATACCTCAACTTCCCAAAGCTTGTGGTCTGTCTGTTAAACTTCCTCCCATTGATAAGAAAACTGATTGCTCCAAGTAAGTCTCTTCTTTGTTCTCTTTCACTTCATTTTAGGCTTAATTGCTTTTTTGTCATCCATATTTCATGATTTCATGAATTTTATCACTTACACAACTTTCAAAATTTTGCATATTTAACTATTCTATTAGTTAATTGCTGATATAACATGTTAAAAATATATCATGTTAATCCCTGATAGAAACTATTGATATGACATTAGGATGTTGATGAAGCATATAATATATCATATCAATATCAACATGTCATATAAATAATCAACATTTTATGTTATCATTTAATTAATAAAGATAAATGATAATTTAATGAGATAACAAAATATGAGAAAATTTGAAAGTTAAGTCACAATGTGTAATTTCAAAAGTTGGATGACAAAATTTGTGAAATTGTGAAATTAGATGACAAAAAAAAATGCGAGTCTTTCAATTTATATTATGCTTTTAACAGCATCTTTTAATATAACTATGAGGACGATGTTGACTATTTCTTTTTTGCTCATACAGTGTAAGCTTTATGATGTGAATGCTTACTTTTGTGGTGCTACTAATGGAAACGTGACCGGGAAAAGTTACTAAGGAAGTTGAAAAATAAATTGCCAACCAGGATTGTACTATGGGCCATGAATAAATAAAATACATTTTATATGTACAAAATCTATTTTTATTGCTTCATTCTTTTAAGTTTATTTATTTACTTGGTAATGTGCCATAAAATAACTGAATCAAACTTGACGTTGCAAGCTTGATCATCTAAACAAAAGTAACAAGAAGATCAAACTAGATCTAGTTAAACTCAATGTGGCCATTTGTTTAAGGACAAGTATGACTACTCTACAAAATGTGCGTTTTGTTCTTTAGCTACCTTTCTTCAGCGTGAATACAAAATATGGACTATATTTGTCTCAAAGAATCAGCATAATTTACAAGTTCATAATTAGTGCATTTTCAAGGAAACTGTCAGTGTTGGATTACTGACTAGACTATAAGGTTGTATTTTGAATTTATAAATTTAAATTTAAAATTTGTAATCTAAATTATTTACATTAATCTTTTGTACATATATATTCCCTATAAATTTTCATGAAATTTTAATGCAATGTTAAATGTTCATGCAAGTCTTTTGCCGGTACATATCCACATATAGTTGTTGAAGCAATTCTTAAAAACCCACCAAAAATATGTACACACTAGAATTTGCAAGTTCGCGTTTCAGAGCAGTGAAATTAGGCTCAGCTGGCTTTGGAGGTAACAGAGATAGTAGTCTCTGTTGCTATTTTCTCTCAACGTTCGCAATGCATTAGCAACAAACCTTGATGCATACATGGTAACACCAAGGCTTAGAGTAGACCCCTCCTCATTTGCCAAAGCATCTTGTAGCTTGTCTTCAGCTTCGCGCAATGACTTCTCAATCTTCTTTTTCCAGTACCAACGTCAAGTTGCTTGTATGAAAGTGGCAGCCCATGTCTTCCGCTGTGATAATAGAACCTGCATGAAAAAACAAACACATTGCATAAAAATTCATGAGGTTATGAAGTTTTGTGTAAAAAATTAGGAGAGAATAGTATTCTAATTTCTAAGATCTTTACCATAATCCCACATGTGCTCATGAAAAATGAGTAATACTTTAAGGTTGGTCATAGTTTTTATGACTTCTATTATTGATAATTTTTTACAATCTGATGTTAAAAGCATTATATCTGCACCTTGTTTCTATTGTCTACAAAGTGTTACATGAGGAAAAAAGAGAAATTAACATGATTACGATATCAATTCTCGAACCTTACCTGAAAACATGTTGGAGATGATTTCTGTGAAGACGTCGAAATTGAGAAGCAACAAACTTCAACTCATCAAAATACTTTTATTTTATTTACACTGTAGATTTCAATTATTCTAATTTAGTTACTTTTTTTTTACATAAAATTTATATTTATTTTTATTCAATTGATTTTTTTATTTTGCAGAAATAATATTTATAATGTTAATGATTAGATTTGTCTAAGAAAAGATATAGAAAGTTGATTGATAATTGGTTTAGATAGGAGATATTTGAATATATATAAGAATAATTTTGGAAGGAGGTATAGTTATAAATAAGGAAGTGTATATATCATGAGTTTTATAAGTACATCTCTTTTGCTTCTTTTTTTTTTAAATTCTAACATATGTTTAATCTTCTCGTTTTTAATTTTTACATTCACCCCCTTGTATTTTCTTTATTCTTCATCTATTTTAGTAGATAATTTTAATTCTCTCAATTTTCACATTACTTTCTCTCACTATTTTTATTTTTCACATACATTTAGATCATAGAATTAGTGTGCAACATTGTTGTAGGCACGTACGACTTTCTCGAAAATTCCTATCAAGTTTGACATGTGTTTTTCCTTTGAACACTTCTTCCCCTTTCACACTTTTAAAAACTTTATTAAATTTAGTATTATGAAAAAGACATTCCAAAACACTAATTTTACTATGAAAATTAGTGTTATGTCTCTTGTGCGTGTGGAAACTAAAAGAGGGGAAGGAGAAGGTAATAATGTAAAAATTGAAAAAGGAAAGGAAAAAAGAATAATGTAAAAATCAAAAGAATTAAAATTACCTACAAAAATATATGAGGAGTGGAAGAAATAGGTCGGAAGTGGGGAAAATGTGAATACATGTGAAAACTATAAAGAAGGAAAAAGATGTGTGAAAAAATGGACTAAAGTGAATGTTAGAAGTGTAAAATAAAAAAATTAAAAATTAAAATATTTAAGGATATTTTAGAAATTTATTTTTTTTTAAAAAAGAGGTGTGCTTATAAAAAATGAGGTATATATATCGTGAGTTTAAAAACAAATTAAAATAAAAAAATTGGGTTCTAATAGTCAAATTAAGCCAAACGATAAATAAAACCAAGATTTAACTATCAACACTCTCTTTTTTACATGTACATTCATTATTCCTCCCCATTAAACTACCCTAACCCTCATCTCTTTCTCCCTCCTCTCTCTCTCTCTATATATATATATAAAGAGGAATTTACTTATTTTAAAAGTAAGTTTATTTACACTTCACTCAATAACTTAAATTTTGGCAAAAATATACTTTTCGTCTCTTATATTATTTATTAGTGTCAATTTAGTCCCACTTTAATTATTTGAATCAATTTAGTCTCACATCTTTAAAATGTATTTCAATATTTGACCTTTCGTTTCCTCCATTAAAATACTTAACGAATGTGACACGTGTCATGACACGTGTCATGTCATCATGACACATGACATGACATGTGGCATGATAACATGACATGTGTCTTGATACGTGTCAGATCTGTTAAATATTTAAACGAAAAAAATGAAAGGTTAAACATTGGGATAATAGATGTAGGACTAAATTGATTCAATTAATTAAAGTGAGACTAAATTGACACTAATAAAAAATATAAAGGACGAAAAATGTATTTTTGCCCTTAATGAATATTCATTGATAACATGTATGAATATATTTTTTACTCATTTATAAGTGGGATGGGAACAGATACGGTAGTATCTATATCCTGATATTCACAAATACCCATTAAATAATATTATTTAAATATTTGTATTTTAACTTATATTTTTATATTATTTTTAATTAAAAAAACTATTATTAATTACAGGTTAAAAATTAATGTCAATTATTTATCTTTAATATTACAATATATTTAACATCAAATATAAATTTATAATTATTTATAATACTTTTAATATTCACGGGACAAATTTTTATTTGACGAGACAAATTCAAATATCCTAGTACTTGCCAAAGGAATATCCGACAAGATCCCATTGTCATCTCTAATCAGAGCCAAAGGAATGTATAAGATAAGAAAGTTGGGATCAAGTGGCCAAAACCCGAAAGTGAAACAAATGTACGAAAATAATAATAATAAAGTTCCATCTCAGGTAAATAAGAAAGAGAGCATGTATTGAGATCTAAGGATATGTTTAGATAAGTTTCTTCAAAAACACTTTTAGAAGTAAAAATTAAGAAAGAAAATTGAAACAAATTTCTCGATAAGCTAAAATTAGCTTATACAAGAGTTAAAAATAAGATTTTGAATAAATTAATTGAATAAAACTTTTATAAATTAATTTATGCATAAGTTGATTTTAACTTACGAAAAAACTCATTTTATTTATTTTTATTATTTTTCTCTCCTAGAAGTGCTGAAGTTTTTAGAGAAGTTTATCCGATCAAACCCTAAATAAATAATAAAGGGAAAGTAAAGATGAAATGAAGGGGGGAAATGTAAATTTGGGTTCAAGATATATCAGGAACTAAGGAATAAAACAAAAGTACATTGGGATTTGGCCTAGTAGGTGTAGTATAAATAATTTTCAGGACAACAAAACAAAAATGAATTTAAAAACAATAATAAGAGGGAAAAGGGATGAATCAAAATAGAAATGAAAAAAAAATGAGAATAAAATAAAGGTGAGGGGATAAAAAATAAAATTCATAATACTAGTTAGTAATTACAGGAAATTTAACTAGTATCTATTTTAATTTTCTACATTTAAAATAAATAGCGAGTGAAATAGAAATTGGAAGATATGGTATAAAAACAATTTGAATCTTACTAAAGAGTAGAGACCAGAAAGGACTTGGTAATTCACATCATCTCCAACAAAATAAATTTATTCTTCATGAAGAATAATAATAGTTCTATCTATTTTGTAGAATAGTAATGTAATGTGAATCAACCAATATATATCCCAATGCATCCATTACATTCTAAACGCACCACCCAATATTTGCAAATAGCAGTTTCTCAAAAAAATTAAAAATAACATTCTAAAGATTACTACTTCAGCTATCAATTTAAGTTTTCCATCATCGCGCTGGTTTTACACATCAGGCTGCCTACATACGCCGTGCAATCTAGATAACACATTTATAATTATTAGTCATAATTTTACCAAACCTAACAATTTTAATGTGGAACATAACTAGCTTCAACTTCACTTAAGATCCCTCATCGTCAGACTGAGAATCTGGGGGCTCTGTATTAACAAAGAAGTCATCCACTGAAATAAAAACAAAGGTATCTTGGTTACACTCAACCTTGACCTTAACTTCAGAAACTACGCAGTAATAACTAACAAGAGAAACCAGGTGCTACCAAATATTGTAAACTTAAAGAACAACAACCATTTCCATTCATTATGTATAATATTATTTAGCAACTAGATGCAGCTAAACATAAATCTAAATCTGCATGAGCTTGAAGCAGCAAAACAAAATCAAAATCTAATGAAGCACCCAACTTTGCTAACATATCCGCCACTGATTAACCTCGCTAAAAACATGTTGAATCACGAGACTCCAATCTCTGCTAAGATACTCCCTAATCTATAGAACCTCATTGCACAGAAGGTGCTGATAAGGAACTCCCTTAGTCACCTTCTCAACTGTTGCATGAGAATTCATTTAAATTTCTATATTTTCCAAATTATCAAATTCTCCATGGTTTCATATGCTCTCCTAGCTTAAAATTTGAGACTTTGGATTTCTTTATGATGTATGTATTTGACATTATAGCTTTGTAGTTTGAGTCATTTCAATGTTTGCTTCTCTTAACTAGGTTTTATAGAAGTTTACAGTCTATATTCTTGACTCTAGATGTATATTCTGAAATCTTTCATGACTGCAAACTAGATTTTAAAGAAGTTCCAAACATTTCTTTTAACCTTCCTACACTTTGCCGAGGCTAAGAATTTAGTAGATCCTATTGATTATCATCTAAGACTAAATCTATTTCATCCAATGCTATTCACCAAATTTATAAATTTGAGATGAAAAAAATGGATATACATGTACATAAATGTGTCTTTGTGCATTTACCTATGTCCTTTTGATCTGATGATTCAAGCAAAATATTTGAATCGGAATGCATAAATGGTGAACCAGGATAGTTTCCTAGAGCTCCTAGATCTGCATAGAAAGATAATTCATAAATAACCATGAATATGTCCACAAAGGATAGAGATTTAAAAGGAAAAAATTACAACAGAAGCCAAGGTCCCAAAATCATTAAAGGTTGTAAATCTCAGACAACTTCCAGATGGCCTCTAATCACCTTAACTTTGACTATGTATCTAAAAATGGATCTCACAGCAAAGTAAGAAATTACCTCCCAAGTTTGACAAATCTTCTGTTAAATCAGATAAGCTAAAATTCCACTGAATTTGATCAAGTGATCTGGAAATCCCTGTGCCATTATCTGGTGCAAGTTGCAGTCCTAAAGAGCTTGTCACATCAGATGTAAATACTGTATCAAGGACAGATGTATCTGTGCCGATTCCTGATATTTCTGGAGGAGTGAAAGGGAAATGGCCACTGGAAGCTACTGATTGCGGACTAACAGGCATTTCTGACAAGGATGACATTGCACTATTTGGTGGAATAAATGAGATATATTAGGAGTACTATGGTCCATCACAATACTTCAAGAAGGATAAAAGCGGCTAATGTTATTCTATCAAGCAAAATACTAATAAAAGAACGAGAGGAAGTAGTTCCACATCCACTAATTTAACTAACATTTAAGCACATGATAACCACAACACTCCAAGCATAATAATGCGGAAACAATGGTGAAGCAAAGCTTTCATATTTCCAACAGTCACCTGAATGCAAGGACCCTTTGGGCTTGAAGTATAGACATATCAACTAATAAATCTCCTTAAAAGCTTAATTGCTCAAGTTATTCAGTGAAGACACGTTATTTCTTATAAGAGAAACTTAGATGAAGAATATCATTTGTTGGATGTTGTGTGGTTACTACTAACCACTACAGCTCCCCATATAAATTAAATGCCTGCTAAGAAGACCATCATTATTTAAACAAACACTTAGAAACACTTTGTAAATCAAGCCACCAAACAGTTCGTCGACAAAACCAGTTGGTACTATGCACAACAGCCATTTAACACATTTAAAGACAAAATGAAATATAAATTCCAATATACAAAGCCAATGAGAAAACACAAGGCCTAAATAGAAGACCTTGTTATTCTCATGTCCATTGAATGACTAAACTGAAAGAAGCATGTGAGGTCAGACATGTTCTCACCCATTCCCAGATCTTGTCCTAATTGGATGGAAGTTGTTTGGTGCAGGGACTCCATTAACCACATGGCAATTTGATATACCACTACCCATGGAGTCAAGATGTGGTAGACCAGTTGCTGGGATGGAAGGCTGCTGTAGCACGGGGTATCCCATAGGTAGGTTGTTGACTGCACTGCAAACAAATGGTGTTCAAGAATTACAAGACGAGAGAAAAAAATATACGGGAAGAGCAGAAACAAGTGAATTTACACTCCTATAAAGAAGATAAACGGTGAAGCTTGATCTCATGCCAAAAGCAAAAGGTAAATAAAAGCACACACGTCTCAAATCTTAATTAGGTTATGAACCATTGTTCTAGCCCTTCACTACTCTCAAAGGGGAGAGAGGTGCCATTAGTGTTATATATTAGACATTTAGCTTATAACTTTAATACATGCACGAGTGGTTAAAGCTTTGGAAGACTAAATGTAGTTTGGTTTGTTAGAAAGTTCAACAAGGCTTAAATTATGCGTTGGTATTACGGTTCTTGCATGGAGATAAATCTAAACCACATGCAGATTTATAGGTGGAAAAGAGAGTTTTGTGTAAATTGATGAAATTAGGAACATTTATAGCTAGAATTCATATATTTAACTCATGTATAATTTTGAACTTCTTTTCATTAGTTATGGATTTTAGAATAGTTTCCATATTTTGGTCTTAAATTAAGACCCAAATTTGTTGCCTATATAAGGTGGGGAAATATTGATTTTGGGAGTTAAATACTACTTGGAATTAGAAATTTCAGATTCTCTTCTCCAAAGGTGAAAGTATCTTTTCTTCTTGGGGTTTATAGTTTCTTACTAGAACAGTATCAAGATTTGTGAGTAGATTCTTGTGGTAAGTACTCCTTGTTTAAATTCGTTATTGCAGGAATTCCCATTGGATCAAGGTTTCCCTATTTTGGTCTGTGGATGAGCACTATTATGAGATTAAGGAATTTTGTTCATATGTAACCATAATTAGATTTCAATCTGATGTTTGCTTCTAAGTCCACATATCTATTTATCTCGAGCTTTCCTTATCAATAAGGCTGCTCAATATGCAAAGACCCACCTATCAATCATCAAGTCTTTCACACTATTTCTTCTATCTCATAATACGGATGTAGAAACCTTTTCCTTGACACAAATGGTCAGATCCTTGTTGTTGACTAGGAATTTAGCAGTGTACTAAGAATAATAGTCAGAAACTCGGAATAATTATAGCATAACACAAGAAGGAAAATGTAAGTGTCGCCACTCAGAACTTAAAGTTTAAGTAGTCATACAATATGAGGCAATAATTTACCAGGCATTGGATGGGCTCCATTCTGTATGGGAGCCAAAGGAATCTTCATAGGCAAGGTATAGTTCATCAGATGATACTGATTCTCAAGCAAATGATTGAACAAAAGTATTTGCCTTTTCAATTTTAGCCTGATGTAGTAGGCTCTAAAGAAACCAGTGTTCTCCTCCTCCAACTTCTGCCATACTGAATTTGAAAAGGGAAAAAAGAAAAGGATCAAACAGAAGGCAATGGGATCTGAGAGCATATATTTTTAAAGGAAAATAGATAAAAATGCATTTGAGGCCATTCTTTTCAATAGCAACATGTCTCACTCTCATATCAAATAATGTTTATATGTGCAACATAAAGCCACATAAAAGATAACCATTATATTTAAATAAAAATTTGAACAACTGACACAATAGATTTATTTTTATTATTATTAGAATGAAATTATAAATGACATGACAGAGACTTCAAGATGCCTACCCAGAGTTGTAAATCCAGGATCTATCTTTGCCCGTGTCAAGAGTGTTTTGACCACTTCATCTTTATTCATATATAATTGTAGGCACCTTTCTATTAAATTTTGTACCTACAAAATTTGTTTGAATATTTAGTCAAAAAGGTAAAAAAAAAAAAAAAAAAGATTAGTCCAGATTAGCTTTTGTAAATTGTCCTGTAAAAGCATGGGAAACACAAAACAAGTGCAGAAGTCAAGAGTTGACTAAAATGTTTAACAAAATTCTCTTACAAGCTCAATATCCTGCCGTGAAATTTTTTTGCTATCATTGCTTGAAGCAGATGCTGAAGCTGAGTCTGTGATAGGTGCATCAGTTGTGTGATTGTTTGGACATTCACTCTGTGAATCATGAGAAGCTTTAGCTGGGGACTGTAATTCTTGTGTGCTCTGCCAATCCATAAAAGGTTAATCAACTTCAATACAATAACAAAGTCCAATAATGTTTTTCATAGTTGACTATGTAAGCTTAGCTAATCCAGGAATCGTATGCATTTGATTGATTGAAGTAATTTTGTTATGGAAAACTTGTCCTTTCACCACAGAATACCACGGTGTACAAAAAAATTGTTGATCTTAATTGTGGTATGGAAAGGAGCAATATCAGGCCTTCACATCCTTAATTTTCTCTGCCAATATGGTCAGATGCAGTAAATGCGTAAAATTGATGACATAGGGCAATTGTTTGTGGATATTGCAAACTAAGTAACAACATAAATGATTATAACAGGAGAGAACCTGCCAGTTCTTCATTTCTGCCGAAAGCATGCTGAGCACATGTCTTTGGGAAACTTAGGAAATGAGCTTGAATTCAATATATTATGCATATAAGTCTATGAAAACCTCGAGTTGAAGTAGTTTTCATCTGAAACAATGGTAAGGAAAGGATATTATAAATCTTAATGTGAACAAACCCATCTACAAAGAAATCTAAAATCTTAAAAACACGTGAACGAGTAGAATTTTTCAGTAAATTAAATTACAAGAGAGTTCAATTGCTGCAATTGAATTCCATCTCTCTTTTTTAGCATAAAGATTATGTATTTCACATTTTTTTGCTACACCGCATTAGGTCACAACTCACAAACAGTGTAGAGCACCGGCGAGATTCACTAAAAGATTAAAACAAACAAACGCAGAAACAATTAGCAAAGTATGTATCCGAAGAGGGAAATAAAGATTATATAGTAATTTATATTACCTATGCACGCAGATGAATGGAGGAAAGTGAGTATGTAGGTAACTCTGACAAAATTGAGAGCAAGATGTGGAAACTAGAATATAAACGACACATTTGCTGGTGAGGTCAAACTGAAATTACACAGTGTCATATCATGGATCTTTCTTCCCAATTCGTGTAATTTTACATTTTGCAAAAGGCAGATCATTTTAGATTTTCTTTTTCTTTAAAAAAATGATGTTGTACTATAAAATTTTTAAAAATAAAATAATATTTATAAAGTTAAGAATTAAGAATTTTTAAATAAAAATACTTAATTTAGCAAATTTAAAAAAAATAATTTGAAAACTTATCCTTTAATAAAGAGATTAAAATCCAAAACAAAAAATTTCGGACACGGCTATAATAGGAATACATGGCACTGTGTACCGCCAAGCTCCATTTTTATTTTATTTTTTAATTTATTATAATTTATCAGGAGATCGAGAAAATTTAATAAAAAAATATATATATTATTTTAGTTGTGTGGATTGTACATTAGTAAGGTTTAGGGTTGAGGTAATTCTCCTAAGTGTAATAGAAATTCTTTTCACAAGTTCGAAACTACTTGTTGCTTTTTAGATTTAATATATTAAATATTTATAAATTTTGGAGTGAGCAAAGAACATAATTCATCAAATAATGCAAGTAATTAAAAAATAACAAGGTAACATGTTTTATATATATATATATATATATATATGATTAGTTGGATATATACATTTTATATTTTTATATTTTATTTAATAAAAGTATTTAAGAATTATTCATCTTTTTTAGATTAATCGATGTTGTATTTGATTTTTAAATTATAAAGTCTCGAATTTTGTTTTTATAAAAATGATTTATTTTTTATTATTTAAATTTAAAGATAAAATTATTTAAAAAAATATCTACATTAAATTAAATTATTATTTTTATATATGTTATAGATTATAGAAATATTGAAAAAATATTATATAAAAAATATTAATAAAGTTTACGTTGAAATCTCAATAATAAAGGATATTGACAATTTTATTATGTGATATTACATTTTCAATTATTGCATAAGGTAGAACACAATCAAAACTCAAATTTTTTGTTTTTATATTGGATAACTCTATTTGTCACATTTAGGGATGGGATGGATATTTAATGAGCAAGTATCCACATATTTTTTCAATACTCGTAGATATCTATGGGTACTCGCGATTATTTATTAAAAAGTATCTTAAAAATATTCAAGAAAAATATTTTAACTACACATTTTAGTTATTTATAATAATTTTTTTAAAAAGTTATAAAAATTTGTAAAATAAAATATGCTTAAAAAATTTGAAAATTATAACTAAAATTTAAATAACATCTATGTAAAAAAATTGAAAATTATAAAATTCAAGTACAAATATTCTTCATAGTTATACTAATAACGATAAGTGAATTTAAAAGCTAAATTTTAATCATTTAATTATATAAGTTTAAAGATCAAATAATAATTATTAAAATAAAATATTTGAATTACACATAAATCCAAATAAAATATAATAAAGTACAATACTTAACTATTATAAGTCCAAACAAAGTCTAAAGAAAATCAAATTCATACAAGTCCAAATAAAATCAGATAGACATAAATCAAAATGAATTATATTAAAATGTACGAGTATCCACAGATACAAATAGTATGATACTTGTACCCTCTCCATTAACATGCGAGTATAAAAAATATTCATTTTCTACTCAGATACAAATTTATTTGACATTCCTAGTCACATTCACCAATATAACGAATTTATCAAATTACAGAAATTATTGTCAAGTATTATCTTTTACAAAGAATATGCATTTACAAAACATAAGTGTTTTATGAGTTATAATTTTGTCTTTTAAAAGGTACCTTGGTGAATTAAAGAAGGAGAGTATTTATAAATTACCTTTAACCTCGACTTCTAAGTAACGTGGGACCTTTAGGTATATCGAAATAATTTTTATTTTATTTTTTTATTTCTTATTTTACTTTTTAACTTCTTAAATATAAAACTCGATCAAATTTTTTATTTAAATTTCTCATTTCTTAAAATATATAATTACACTATTTTATTATAATATTTTATTTCTTAAATAATTTATATTTATCTGTTTTTATATTTTAAAATAACAAAATCAATGTAGTATATAACATGTGTGAATCAATAGGAATTGAAGGTGTATATTGATTGCACTTTCGATTCAAGTGACAACAAATTTTCGACTATTTGAAAATATGTATGTGAAAAAAGTTCTAGATGGGAAAGTTCTTACAGCAAACAATGCTCCGATCACTTTTCACATGGCTCGGCACCAGAAGAATTGGATTCTGACAAGCTTGTTGTTGTTATTGATCATTCCTTAGGAAAATATCAAGATACTGATGAGGATTATATATTTGTTATGTCGCTTACATTGGAAATCAAGTTTGTTTTTACTCTACTTTCTAAAACATCTAAAGGTTGTTGATACTTAATTATTATAAGTGAAACCAGATTCTTAGTTTTACAATTTTTGGATTGATTTTTGTGCATGTGTTGTTTTAGTTTACATTTTTGTGCATGTGTTGTTTTAGTTTACATTTTTGTGCATGTGTTGTTTTAGTTTACATTTTTGTGCATGTGTTGTTTTAGTTTACATTTTTGTGCAAACAATGAAAGTGTAATTACAATAATTGTTGCATGCAATGCTCATAATGAAAATGTAATTAAGTGCTACATGTAATTTGTTATGATTGACAAGTCCTCAATAATTGATATTGAATTGCATAGTTCTCATAAATATTTATATGTTTTTGGTTGTCAAATGATCAATAAAAAGAATTTAGATAATTAATATTTCATTTTAGAAATAATATGTACATGCTTGAAAAGAATTTGGATGAGGGTTTTAAATCGACTAAATTTGATATGTACAAATTTTTTTTTATAAGATTCGTTATTAAAATAAGATTAAAAAAAAATCTAGTGAGACAGTACAATAGTTTTTAAAATCTCCATCTTAATTGTGTAACTGCATAATGAAGTTTCATTTTTTTTACAGCATATTTAAGTTGCATTATCATTATAGGGTATGAGGTGAATTATTATTTTTTTAGATTTTTTTTGTTTTTTATTTTTAGTGGATCATTTTTTCTCAATAATAGGTGTTGATGGATGATATTTGTTGATTGGCCAAACAGAAACATTTATTTTTTTGAGTTTTAAATTCTATTTAGATGATCAATTTGTAGAAGTTTGAAAATGAAGGACAAAATATAATTTATTTTTCCTCTTCAATTCAACTATTATTGTGTGATATCAATTCCTTTTTTTCTTAAAGTTTGAATTATTGATATTTTATTTTAGGGATAATATGTACAAACTTAAAAAAATTTGGATGAAGGTTTTGAATTTAATATATTAGCTATTACAAAATATATTTTTTTATAAGATTAAGGAAAGAAATAGTTAGAAAAGATGCAGTGGTGTAGTAGAATAATTTTTTAAATCTCGATCTTTTCATTATATAGTTGCAACTAAGGGTATAATATTCATTTTTTAGGAATTGGGATGACTACTTATGAGATTTTGTTATAAATTTAAGAGTTTAATTTTTGTTTCCCTGCTTTTATAATTGACAACAACATAATTATATACTTAATGGTCAAAATGAAAAGCAAATAAAAATTGGTTACATATTTAATGATTTTTGAGCAAAATAAGTGAAGAATATTGTATGCTTATGTTGTATGTTGTGATGAGTTTGTTCTCTTAAAAATATTGTTTATGTATGTTTGTGCTTGAATTTGAAAACATGATAGTGAGTAGTGTTGGTGGAGTGAATATGAGTGGAGTGAAAATATTGTATATTATGACAAAGTTTGATCTAAAATATTGTAAATCTCATTATCACATGTCATATTAGAACAATTTAACGTGAAATTTAAGTCTCATTACCAATATATTAAATATCATACTAATGATCATCTGCAGAAAATATAAAAACAACAAAGAAAACAAAAAAGTGAATTATGTGGAGACAGTAGTTAAAAGTGTGTCAAAAAATGAAAAAAAAAATTCCCCTTTTTGTATCTCAATTTTATAGTTTAAGTTGTTTGTATCATAATGTAGTATCTTTATAATATTTTAGATTTATCACTCTTAATATCCCTTTCAACCAATTTTCTATTTTTACTCCTCTTATTTACTCAAGAAACTCATCCCTTCTAATTTCTTTAACTTTGTCAAATTTTTTTGATGATATAAAGGCTTATTTTTGGAGTTATGCAACACGTTAATAGCTTCACGTGCACTATAAAAACAGCCATTTTCCAGCAAGGGCCAAAATCTGAAAGAAGACTGCTACAGTCCTATTCAGAAAAATTTGCTAAGATTACATGATAGAGTGCAACTAGCAACAGAGAGGACGAATAGTATATCCCCTTAAAAGGACAACCAATTTGACATGTCACAAACTGTTTGGTTCACATGGCTGAGACAACTTAGAAACCATAAGATCCAATTGTCAGATCAGATAGGTCCTGAAGGTTGAATGGAAGCACTTCCATAATGAACTATAGTGCTGCCAGGAGACGACTAATGTAACCAAACTTTAGCTAACCTAATTAGGAGACCCACAACAGATCAACTTCAATCGCCTCTCTTTACCGTGTCTTCACGTGGTGTAGTAGCGACTTGAACCCAATACGTACAAGCTAGGGTTTGTCTCGTTTGAACTCATTCATATTTATCTAGTTATATAATTCGTCACCAAATTATGAATTTCTCATTATTTGGTTTTTCAGCATAAATTATCACCATAATCATTTGGATGGGTTATTAAGAAAAATGTAAATGAAAAAATAACCTGCACAATATGGACTAAAGATCAACGGTAATAAAAGCTGAGACACCCTATAGCGCACCAATGATGATTACAAGCAATAAGCCCGAACAATTTTTATGAGAAATTATTTCATCTTAGATCGTTACTTGTATGTTAGGATAAGTTGCACTTACTCTCCGAGGTTTGATACCACCTCTCTTTTTTGACATTATTCTGACCTCAAATGTATAAGAAATCAGGAGAGGTGTGTATTAATGAAATACGTAGTGATATATTGTTATAGAAATTAAGGTAAGTTTGTAGAGTCAAAAGAGGGAAAAGCGAAAGAAAAAAAAATTGTTCCTAGGGATGAGTATAATGTCCTAAATATTATGCTCATTCATATTTTGACGTTTGTGTCATTGATTCATTGGGATAATCTGTTACAGCATTGTTGAATTGATTTCCATCTTCTAACTTAGAGTCATGGGTTTCATAAGAAAGATTGGGGGAGAAGCCAGATAAAAATGACATCTAATATTATTTTCTGATATTGTTATTGATACACAGTTAACAATTTTCAAAAGTTCAAGAAATATCTACCACAGACCATCTACACTGGAGAAGCTGACAAAACTGTTAACATGGTGAAATTTCTGAACTTTGAATCTAAGCCAGTTTTGTGATTTGATTGGGTTACAACTGTGTCCAAACCTTGAATGGAAACTAATCACCGACTACTGCATCATCTTTGCCACTAATGTTCCTCATCCTAAAATAAAGTTTTAATTCTTGGATGGAAAAATGTAACGGAAGTGGGTTGATCACCTTTAAGTGTACAAGCAAGAGGCAGGGCATTCCTGAGCAAGACACAGTAAAGACCCAAAGTTCTG